ATCAGATGTTAAGCATTAGAGCTAGAGATACAAATATGAGACATCTAACTATAAACAACATTTGGCCAAAAAAAAAAAACATAAACAACATTACAACACATAACAGTGTTGCTGCTTATTGGGTGGAAGATGTTGCTCTTCCAAGCAACATTGTATCCTTGGATGATGTATATCAGTGTTGCTCTCTTTTTAGTTCTTACAGAGGTATCAATGTCCTTAGTGACACATACTCTTACTACTCAAGATTGTAGGTGACTGCAGAGAATCTTTATGAAATGAGCTCATTCTAGTTTTATTGGCAACTCCTCATGATATTGTTGGTCAAATTTTGATATTTGTTTATGGCCTAATGTTTGTCGTTTTTGATTTGTCAGTTGTATTTCTTTTATGGGAACTTTAGATATCTCAGGCTTTTTTTTTGCATATTAATCATTTTATCTTAATATATTTTGATTGATATTAAAAAAAAAAAACTGAGCCATGCAGGTCTCAATTTAAAAGGATTTTTAGCATTATTTTTTCTTTATTAATATCATTCAAAACAATAGTTAAGAAATATCAAACTATATTACTGCACACAATCATGGACTATTGATCGGTGATTGAAAGTAGTTCTACATTATCATGAAATAAATAAATAAATAATAATTCGTGTGAATTCATGAATTAAATAGAATATGAGTAATAATTGTTTATAAAAAAGAACACGAAAATAATTTATTACATTGATTATGGCTTATAAAAACTATTAAATATTTTGAAGGTAAAAAATACTATTAAATAATACTTTGTCCATTCCTTAATATAAATCGTAATTTTATTTTTTTAAAAATTTCTACATATAAGTCATAATACATATTTTTAGGTGTAGTCAATGCATGTTTTCAAAACAAAAAAAAAATCTTTATAAACAATTTTAATTTCTTAGTTCTTTTTTTCTTCGATAACAGGGGACACACCCAAACTACGCTTGGTGTAGGTTATTACAATTAGCTAAAAGAAAAGGTCCAATGACATGAGGTGGAGAAGTAAATCTAACAAAACTAGGCTAGTGCATCTAGGTGAGTTTAGCAAGTTGATCCACTACTGCATTGCCCTCTCAATTAATATGTCTTATAGAAATCTCCCAATCTCTTTACCAAGTCTAATGAATTTCTCAATAAGTGTAGAATGTTGATGCAGAGGATTACAAGATTCTTGAATTAGATGAATAGCTTCAATAGAATCACTCTTGGCGATAACTTTCCGATATCCTAAATCCCAAGTTTCCTTCAACCAGAGGAGGATGGCCCACAATTCAGTTTCAAGGGCGTCTTTTCTTAGAACTCCCCCACAGCCACCCATCAAGAGAGATGATGAGCAGGCTCCATCGACATTAACCAAAACCCAATCGATGGGGGGGATACCAAGTTTCATGTCTCGATTCCAAAATATCACCTGCAGCATTCACTTGAGCTATCCTACCTCTTTGTTGCATCATAGTTGTGGTAATAGAAGTCATCCAAGCATGCATACTGTCATTGCTCCTATTCACCTGTTCAAAAGGTCAAACGTTACGACGCTGCCATATTTGCCAATAACTCAGAAGGAAAATATTCTCCTAGTCAGGTGTCATCTTTCATCTAGCAACCTGAAGGTTCCAACAAACATACTCTTTCCATGATGCCATGAAGAAAGCTCCTTGATAGATAGGGGAGACAATTCTGCACTTGTATTGGAATGTTTAAGGACAATCTTGCATAACATGTAGTGTGCTTTTCGTAAAGTTAAGGCACCAAGGGCACCTATCATCATTAGTCATCTTCCTACATCTTCTCACGTCGTTCGTTAGAAGTCTGTTGTAGAGAAGAAGCCATATGAAGGATTTACATCTCTGGGGTATATTCATCTTCCAAATAAGAGCCCACTTTCTATCACCTCCTTCCTGTTCTTTATAAAGATGAGAATAAGCAGATTTAGTTGAGAAATTGCCATGTTTTTCTTATTTCCATTTGACCCATTGACCATTATTAACAATTTTAGTCCCATCCTGAACCTTATTTCATGTAGCTTTGATTCTAGACTAGGTGTTAAGGCTTGATCTTGACTTCTTGATTTTGGGGAGAATGTCATTTCCATACTTGTATTTTCCCCATACAACTCTAACCCATAGGTCATCTTTTTGAGTCATTAGTTTCCAACTAAGCTTCATGAAGAGTGCCTAGTTCTGAACCTTAGCATGCTTAATGCCTAAACCTTCCTGTTTCTTACTCATCCTAATAGTATTCTAAGATACAAGATGCGTTTTTTCCTTCTCCTCAGTGGAACGCCAAAAAAAGCTTCGATTGGCCCTATCAAGAGCTTCGTATGTTTGAGCTGGTAGTAAAGCAGTTTGCATAGTATACCTCGGGATGATAGTACTAATAACAAAGACTAGCGATGTTTGGCCAGCAAGAGAGAGAGGGATGTTACTTTCAAGAGAATAATCTAGATTTAAATTTATCCATAATGTCAGTAAACATGTTTTTATCGACAGGCTTTGAGTGTAATTGCACTCCTAGGCATTGACCTAAGTTTGTAGTTCTAGAATAACCTAAAGCTGAACTCAACTCCTCCTGACAAACATTATGAACATTTTTGAAGAAAAATTTTCTAGTTTTGGTGGTAATGACTTTCATTGCTGAGCTATTACAAAAAGTCATCAAGCAATCTTTGATAACTGTCACCTGTTCAAGTGAAGCTTTAGCAAAAAGCATAATGTCATTAGCAAAAAAATAAATGAGAAATTGGTAGTCAGGTTTCCCGTAGGTGAATGGGTCTCTATTCATCATCCTTTATTTTCTGTTGAAGATGTGCAAGCCTTTCAATGCATATGACAAACAAATATGGACATATAAGATCTCCTTGGTGAACTCCTCTAGCAGGCTTAAAGGATTCAAACTTGTCACCATTTCAAAGAAACTGTATAAAAATAGAAGTCACACAGTGGTATATAATGTCAATCACATAGAAGGTAATCGAAAGTAGACAATCAACAAAAAAATTCTAGTTTAGACGATCATAAGCCTTCTTACAATTTATTTTTATCACCATAAATCCTTTCTTCTCCTACATATTTCTCATAGAATGGATAACTTCTTGGGTGACAATAATTTCTTAGTTCTTACCCCACCATTAGCATTTAAAAATGTAATTTTCCCATGACATTTAATTGAGGGTAAGAATGAAAAGATGAAAACTATTTTCTTATAGATTACATAGATTTTATTATTTTTAAAATTCGTGTGTATGTTAAAATTGGGACTTATATTAACCAACGGAGGTAGTAATACTTTTTTCTTGTGTGGTGTTAGCGTGCACATTAAATTCAGGAAAAAAATGTATACATTAAACGTGGTTTATGATCAAATAATTGAAAAAAAAGGTTAATTTACTTTTTTACCCTTGAACTATTCTCATAGGAGTACCCAATATTTTAAACTATTTGTCATAACAATTTTGCTCTTGAAATAATCAAAATGTAGCATAGTTGTTCTGGCACTAAATAGCTCAATATTAATCTTTGAAAATACTAACTGAGATTTAAGTGGCAAAAAATGCCACCTATCATGCCAAGTGAATATAAGTTAAGGTACATTTTTATCTTCAAATTATTCTTCAAAAAGCACTCAATATCTTAAACCATTGATATCATCACAATTTTATCCATAGATGAATTAAAACATAGCAAAATATACTTTAACTTGGATTTACTTGATATGACAAGTGACAATGTTGGTCAAATTTAAGTTTTAGTCAATACTTTTAATGATCAATGTTTAGATATTTAACATCAAGAGTAAATATGTTACATTTTAATTACTTTAGAGATGAAATTACAATAACAAATAGTTTGAAACATTAGATATTTCTCAAAGAATGGTTTAAAAGTATGATGAGCACTGTGTGCTTATCAGCCTAAAGTTGATATGGGTCCTTTAATTTATTTCAAAATTATCTATGCTATTCATTTTAAATTAATTTTAGATATTTGTACTATTGTATTTATTAAAATAAAAATTATAAAACATTTAATATTAAATCTAGGCTGTCTTAGGTGCTCATCAAGGAATGAGCACAGAGCACCGGATTACTCATTGCCCTTAATGAGATCTAGACTATTTTGACTTAAAGCTTTTTATTTTTATTTTTATTTTTATTAAATTTAAATTAAAATTCTTTTAATAAATCTATTCATAGTTGGCTTGACTTTTTTTAATATAATTTTTTTAAAATTTTACAAATTGACTATAGATATATTTTGGCTGATCTAATTTAATATTATTTTTTTATAATTTTATAAATTCAATATCTAGATGTGCTTTGAACAATATATATTTAATAAATTTTTATTTTAATAAATAGAATATTAAAATATCTAAAAAAATAATTTAAAATGAACAGAAAATATCATTTTAAAATAAATTGAAAGGCCGAAATTAGCCTTTGAGCTGATAAGCATGCAGTGCTCATCTGAATGTGACAGCTAAAAATGAACTTTAATCCAAACATAAATTTTATGCACAAAAGATGAGAAGCAATTGCCACTCACTTTCTCCCCAGTTGTATCCACCTGAAAATCCCCCCTCTTTTGGCGAATTGGTTCCAGTGCCAATCTTGAACCGTGGAGATTTAATATAACTTTACTTTTATATTTTTAATCAATTATTATCTGAATATAAAATTTAAAATATAGATAATATTGTAATTATCACCCTACCAACAAATAACATTTTACAAAAAAAAAAGAATTGAATTAAAAATGATAAATTTTGGCCATTAAAAATGACCCAAATTTCGTTATAGTTGCTCAAACTCAACATTCCATTTGTACGCGACGCCACGGCCCCGCATGTTATGCTTGCCATCCGAGTCCGACCCCCCCCCCCCCTCTCTCTCTCTTTCACTGTCTGTCTGATAACTCTTTATTAATTTAATATATTTTTAATCTCTGTGGATGACATCTCTAAATTAAATTCCAAAGTTTATTCCTAGTTTTGATTTTGATTCTCCTTTGAGATAGCCCCCCTCACCTCCTTGTTTTTGCCTGGGTCGGATCCCTCTATGCCTGGATGCCCCCTCCTTTCCCTCTCTCTATTTGTGTGTGTGTGTGTGTATTCCTTCTCTCTCTCTCATCCACATCCTCCACTCCTTCTTCTTCTTCACTTCTACTCTGAAAAATGCAGTCCCACTTCATGATGGGGTCCTCCGACGATTATGTTCAAGCATTAGAATCTGAACGTCTTAAAATCCTTGTCTTCTCCAAAGAGCTTCCTCTCTCCTTGGACCTCGTTACCCGAGGTATCCTCCTATGATTCTTCCTTTTCTCTGTGATTTCATTGCTTTCCTCAAATGCCTTTCTGGGTCTCTTTACTTTGTGTGTGTATGTGCGTGTTTTTAGCCATTGAAGCGTTGAGGTCGAAGCATAATTTGAAGGGCCAATCGGAGTGTTCGGGACAGACATCATCGGAAGGGCCTGTTCTGGAGGAGTTCATACCCATCAAGAGAAGGGAAGACGATGAAGATGAGCAACACTCTCATCATCATCATCCCGCGATTAACAACTCCGATGAGACGAAATTGGATTGGCTTAGATCCGTACAACTCTGGAATATTCCTCAATCCCCAGTTCAAGAGGTATATCAATCATCTCCCGCCTGAATCTTCCCGCATACTGTTTTTATAATCAAATTAAGTTAACCCAAATCTCAGAATGCTCCGAGGAAAACGTCGGTGTTGGAAGCAAACAGCAACGGAGGTGCTTTCCAGCCATTTCACAGAGAAGCGAGTGTTCCAAAGGCTAATTCATTAACAGGCAAAGCATCCTCTCCTCCTCCTCCTCCGCAGCCTCCAGTCGCCGGGAGCAACAAGAAAGAAGGACAGAGTCGAAGGAAGCAACGACGATGCTGGTCTCAGGAGATGCATAAGTGCTTCGTGGACGCACTTCAACAACTCGGTGGAGCAGATTGTGAGTCTCTCTTAGTCTTAGCTCTCCAAAAGTTTGCATCTGAATTCCTGATTAACTAACTCGTGAATATGATCATATTTTGTTTTTGCAGTTGCAACGCCGAAGCAGATTAGGGGACTCATGAAGGTCGATGGCCTCACAAACGACGAAGTGAAGAGTCATTTACAGGTAGAAGAATAAGTAAGAGAAATAATTTTTGCGTCGATTCAAATCTAAAAGCCTGACACTTCTGGGTTGATGGACAGAAATATCGATTGCATACGAGGAGACCAAGTCACTTGATACAGAACAACAATGGCGACTCTCAAACGGCTCAATTTGTGTTGGTGAGGAGCATCATAGTTCAACCGCCGGAACATGAGCCGCCATTTGTGATTTATGCGCCGGTGGAGTCACAAGCACCGGCGGCGGTTCCGGTGAATGTTCAGAGGCCAGTAATGGGTTGTGAACGTTCAAATTCAGAAGAAAGAAGGAATCACAGCGAAGTCGCGGATCATCCAAATTCACCAGATTCATCTTCGTCGACTTTTCATACAACCACAGATTCGCCTCGCTGTTGAATTTGAGGATGCCATTCCAAAAAAAAAAAAAAAAAGAAGAATAAAAAAAGGAACAAATAGTTTTGTAACTAAATTGTAGTACAAAGTGTGGTCTGTCATATATATTCTCATCTGAAATTTTCCTTTTTCTTCTTATTCCTTGTGGGTCGGGGTCAAAGTTATTATAGAGATACAAAATTCACAATTGTAGCTTCGTAGGACAGCATGAGATGAATTTTTCCCCTTGTAGGAAAGTTATTTTAAACAACACTTATTCTTGTAGTTGATTAGTGTATTTAGATTTTATGTTTAGACTTTTTTAAACTATTATTCTACTAGGATTACAATATATGACATCTCCTATAAGCCCGGCTCTAAAATATATATGTCATTAGACAGTTTTTACGATTATTTTTTTTTACTATACACTTATTTTATTTATTATTCTTTTAAAAATGATACATTGAAATTTTAATTATAATTTTTATTAAGGAACTTATATAAGATATTTAATTATATAACATATTTAATGATGGTAGAATTGGATAGATGTAAATTTTTTCAAGAGACTAAGGTTTCGCCTTAATTTTTTCTGAAAATTATAAAATAATTATTAATATCCTATATTTTGTTCTAGATCATATAGTAATTAGGAAATATAATTTTTTAAAAAAGTAGTAGTTGTTATTTTAGTAAAAAATAATAAATTTGAGAACCTCGAAAATTACTTGTATTATGGAAAAAAATGTAACTTTAAAAAAATAAGAAGAAGAAAGAAACTAAAAGTTTCTACTAGGCAATTCAAGAAAATGGATCATCTCAAATAAATGAAGATTTGTTGGATGACATAGAATTTGAGATATTTGACTAGGCTGAAAAAGCATTGAACGTTATACTAATACAATACTCCTCCAATCTCATTTATAAGTTACATTTTAAAATATTTATTTAATCTCATTTATAAGTTATGGTGTGATTTTTTAGATAATATTTGAAATATATTTTTGAAATTACCTTTCATGAAAGAGAAAAAATAACATGATATCACTTTTTGATAATGACATATTTAAAATTTTATACACTTTTATTCTTTATAATTTTTTTACATTGATATTGATGAGGTTAATAAAAATAATTTATAAAGAAGATTGAATACCTTTCATTAAAGAGAAAAAGTAACATGATATTACTTTTTGATAATGACATATTTAAAATTTTATACACTTTTATTCTTTATAGTTTTTTTACATTGATATTGATGAGATTAATAAAATAATTTGTAAAGAAGATTGAATACCTTTCATGAAAGAGAAAAAATAACATGATATCACTTTTTGATAATGACATATTTAAAATTTTACATACTTTTATTCTTTACAGTTTTACTGAGTACTCATTACTCTTCATAAACTTCACCACCATCCTTTCAAAAATAAAAAGGTGAACATGAAAGATATTATCCTCGAACATAGCATGACACTCAAATGTCGACATTCCCAGTCCCTCCTGTATGTTGATTAAGTTAAGCAACTTCTGAAAATATTATAACTGTGTTTTTGGGGTACACTTACGAGGGATCTAGTACTATATATCTATATTAAGTTTGAATATGGTTAAGCCAGATAAAAATTAGGAGTCTATTTAAAATTATTTTTATTTTATTATTTTAAAAACCGGCGTTTTGTAAAATATATTTTGAAAAAAATAATAAAAATAAGTGTTTTCTCATTCTTTCTTATTCTCTAGAACAATAATTTTAAAACACCTAAAAGATATTTTCATTTTTTTTCTTTAAAATAATATTTTACTTTTTTTGTTTTTCAAAACACTTTTTAAAAATATGTTACTAAACATATTTTTTTTTTGGTTCTAAAAAACATCAAACTATTCATAGAACAGGTTGCCTAACAGACTCTAGATCTTTGAATATAAATTTTTTAACTATAAGATTTAAGATCTTACTTAAAACAACAACAACACACAACAATTCCATTTAAATCCAACCATCATAACAACTAAAATGTTGTACTCCTTCACCAACGAGTTGAATTTAGCAGAACAGGCTAACTTCTCACAATGTGACAAACTTATATTTAAAGTTTTATTAAAAGATGTGTTCATATTTAATACTCAATAATATTTCAAACAAAATAGCCTTTAATATAAATATATACGTGTACAATAAAAAAATTCTACTCACTTCGTTTTCCAAATACAAGGCTAGTTGAATGATTTGCTTTGTTCTTAATTAACTATAAGACCTCCATCTATTTTGTCTTTCAAATTTATAAATTTTCTCCAAAACTATCCCTATAATTAATTGTACATATTAAAGTATAGAAAAGATTTCCATCAGTTTTATAGTTTTAGAAAAACCAACACACCTTTTTTTCTTTACAAATAAATTTAATTAATTTTTGTAAATTAGCTATTCAGCTCCTATATTTAAGACCGGAAGGAATATTTTAATCACACAGATTCTAGAAGGTGAACCGTGTAGTAATTAGTTTATTTTGTTGTGATTGGGTCAACATACATGGTTGAAGTGTGGTGAAAAATGCGATGGGCACAGATTGGGGATAAAGTCAAAATGAGAAAAGACACCACCCCCCCCCCCAAAAAAAAAAAATTAAGGAGCCGCGACAAGAGGTTTTATAGTGAGATGGTGATTTATCACTTTCTAAGAATGTCCTCTAATTCCATTCCTAAGAATATCCGCTCGAATATGCACTCTCATGAATTAAGTTCTTTGGCTGCTTCCCCCACAATTATTTGATAAATTTACATATACATATATGTTCTAAATTAATTTTAGCCTTTATTCTTCAGTTTAGCTTTGTCATAAAATGTTAGAATGTTGATCAATTCATTCTTGAGTAAATATTAATTTATGGTATATATTAATTACCTTTTCAAGTAAACTCAAGAGCTGGATATTTATTAATTTTTTAGGGATAAAACTATAAATAAACTCAACATGTAAGATAGAAATTAAGATATCACTTTAATCCCATTAATTTTTTAGAATGGTAAATATTCTAATGTTAAAAAATAATAATTAAAATAATTATTTTAACATTTTTTGTTATTAATTATAATTTAAAATTTATTAATTTATTATTCCTATGTTAAAAACATTACAGTCATTAATTTTTAAATAAATATAGATTCATGGTAATTTTTTTTATTTTAATGGCATGCTGATTATTTCTTCATTTCACTTTATTTAATTTCCTTTCCGTAATTTATTTTCTGAATGAAACAGGTCAGGCATTTATAAAGGGTCACAGGAATAGATGTAATATAATTTGCAACCGAATACAAATAATAAAAGAGAAGAATCTTGATGGAATCTTCTCTATAATTGGAGAAGACGTCTTCCAATCAATATCACTATTGTATGGTCATGGAGCCTCATAGCATTTCATCCACATCACCAAAGATAATCCAGTATAATACAGAAAGCCTCTAGGCTTAATTAATGTTTAAAATTTAAACACAGCTTTGGGACTGGTAAAAAAAAAAAACGAGCTTTGAGCCAAAAAATAAAAATTTAGGCATGGTTTATAGTTAATATAATACAATATGGAGTATAACTCATGAACACTTGTTTCTTAAGAAATATTATGTTTATTATATTTATCTTAATGTACTTACTTTAAATGATTAATTGCACTAAATAAATCATAAAAAATTATAAGATGCTTGAATTTCTTCAAAGTTTAAGTGGTTCATAGTTGAGTAGCTTTTTTAAATTTTTACATGTGTTTTATTTAATAAAATAAAATGAAAGAATTGACTGCATTTTATTAAAAAGTCAAACTTTTCATAAAATTAAGATCATAGACATATTATTTTTTTATATTATGTAATCTTTTGGAAAAAAATTAAGTTATATGTAATCTTTATTTGAAAAATAAATATTTATTTAAAAATTGATGACTAAAATATAAAAGAAGATTGGCCCAATGGCCATGAAAAATAGAATTTTTAAAAATTATGGATGAGGTTTTTAAATATTTTGAAATATGATCCATTCATAAAATTAGTTAGAGGTGATTTTTTTATTTTTATTTAGAGAACAAATATACAAAACCATGCAACAATAACTTCCACATGACTTAGCTAGGATTATATCTCATGTAACTGAATAATTTTAATGTTAAACTAAATTCTTTGACCTTCAGTTAATTGGATCAATTCCTTGCACATATGACCATCTTATTTCTCCTCCTTTCACAATCATTCCCTTCCTTTCTTGCCCTATAAGGATCATTGTTAAATAATTTTCAATAGCATTATCCATTACTTGCAGGATTGATCATCAAAGTCCCCTTTCACAATCATTCCTTTCCTTTTTTGCCTTATGAGGATCACTGTCAAATATTTCTCAATAGCGTTATCCATTACTTACAAGACTAATCATCAGAGTCTAGTTTTTGAAAGTTGAATAGTAGGCCAGGATCTATTATTTGCCGTTCACCATCTTCATATTTCTTGGTAATATATTCACTGAATAGTTGTTCATTTGTTCATAATCTATGATTTTTTTGTCATTAATTATGAAACTTTGTTTGAATTATTACTAAAAAAAATAGGTTATTCTCTCATTGTTTATGACTTTTTATTTTATTAGTTTAAGTATTTGATTCTCCATGATGAGCTATATAAGAGTTTAAAATTTTTTTGTAGATTATGTTTGATTCATTTTGGGCAAATAATTATGTGTTTCGTATTACTAATATATGATGCTACATCATTGATATACAGATGTACATGAATGATAAACAAATTTATGTCTAATTTTTTGGTTATGTTGATATGCAATAGTATATCAATGATATACAAGTGATATTGTATGTCACTGATATATAAGTCATATTAGTAAAAACTTACTAACACCATTTTATCTTGTAGATACGAGGATACACTTAATCTTGTCATTTGTTATGATAAAAAATGAAATTTAAACAACCATTATGTCAATAGTTCATACTTTAAAGTGTTTATGGAAGATTTTTCCTTCACACATTCGCTAATGATAAAGCTTGTTGCTTGCTGACATGTATTGCATTATTTGCATACATTTTAGAATGATATTATTGCATTCTTAGAATCTTAATTCTTGTATACTTAGGCATTTTTAGGCCTTTGGAATCAATTAGGGTTCACTCTTAATCTAAGGTTATTTTAGTCATTTTGATAATTTTTGGGCATTTTTTTGAACATTAGTTTAATTTGTAACTTTTATCTTCTTAAGATCAATAGAATAAGTTTAAGATT